GTAATTTTTTGTTGTTCATGCTCTGAGCTTGTGGCTTGATGTTAATTACTGTTTTATACGAAGTATCATGTAACTGTCTATTGCTATGCATCGTCTTCCTTGCTGAAAATGCTTGTAACACCAACTAAAGCAATAAAATTCAATTGGAGTTGATCAAAACTGGTTAATATGATACAGGGAATATATCTATACTTCGTATTTGTTATATGTATATGGTTTAATGTATGTGCTGCTATCTTGTGAGGAAAAACCATGGTATTCTGTAGAGATAGCATGCTATCAAATTACCTTAATAATTTTAAATATACATTGGACGTTGCATATATTATCTTATGGGTTGTATACAAATTACCTTAATAATAATCTCATACATGAGTCCAACAGACCATATATGATAACAACTTAAGTTAAATCTCCAACAGAGCATATTTTTGTTACAGTATAACAATCCAACCCTCAAGTTATTGTTCATATTCTTGTACAAGTAATAATCTATATAAACTTAAGTGATTAATCCCTGACTGAAGCAATTAACTGATCCGAGAGCTTATAATCAGCTTCAACACTAAAAAGCCCAGAAAAGACAGGAGGAGGTATACTAACTCCGGCGGCACTAAACGCAGAGTTACAGGCACCAAGCTTGGGAAAAATGACATTAGTAATAGTAGACCTAGCATCATTAAATCTCCTCTGAGCAGCTTGTACTTGCACTGTACCACCTGCAGATATAATAGCCTGAATCAAAGGGTTAATAGAAAAGAGGGTGGTTCTTGTTTTTGGGTCTGTTTGAACATCGTCGAGAATCTTGTTCACGTCTTGCTCGAGCCTCAAAGCATCGCTATCCCCGCATCCAAGCATCTCTTGTATGACATCTCCTTCCGTTTGAGCACCTCTGCCATCGCTCTTTATGCAGCTAATGCATACGTTTGGAGCGAATGTTGCACCGCACATTCTGTAGACTAGTGGATCATTGTCACCACCATGTGTGAGAGATATTATGCTAAGTAGAGAAATTACTATTAGTGTCGATATTATGGTGTTTTGGTTGGAACAAGCCATTGTATATCGTACTTTAAATATGTATGGTTTGTTTTGCAATGTTTGTGAGAGTAAGTTGGGACTCTTATGAGGTATATATATACTTGATTTTGTTAGGATATTTTAGGAGAATATCTTTTGATTTATCTTAATTGATTATTTCCTTGTTTATAGGATTAGTTTGTCACTAGAGGTTAGAACTAAAATCTATTTTTATAATTTGTACATTTTTTAAAAAATGGATAAATATAAATAAGAATTATGCACCTTGTACAAAAATATCTGTATTTTTAACATTTTATTTTCATCAAAATTATGATATAATTCCTGTTCAACGTCGTGTAATACATGTTTCAATGTAGGAGTCTATTTATTAGTGTGCTACTTAAAATTATTTCATTTTTTAAGAATAAATTGATAGATTGTAGTTGTAATGTAGAAGTTTCTAATATTTAAATTTCAAAATTATTATATATGATAGCTCCAAAAAAAAGAAAAAAAAAAGAAAGAAGATGACATCATCCTTGCATTTAAGAAGAAATTTTTTATTATGAGAGTGACATGTGGACAGTGATGACGTCAGCAACGTTTTGTTTTAGTAATAGTTAATAGATTTTTGGATGAATAATTTGTATGTATATATGATTGAATGGAAGAGAATATGGGTAGGGCTTTTGAGCCCTTACCAATTTCTACAGTATTTGATGCTTATATACACGATTGTATATATCATTACTCTTATTGTATTTGTACAACCGTAAAATATAACTCTTACTTATTTACAACTATAAAGATAAAAAAGAGAGCTATAACTAGTTAATAATGTAGAGGTGTTTAGCATTCACTTGTTTTTTACTCGTAACACTTAATTTTGTTATATTTTTAGACAACAATTTTAATTTTTCTTGTCCGTTTCCAATGCCTCAACATCACAAATTTGCCTTTTCGAGTATCATTCTAGAAAACTTCTTTGAGTGGCATTTGATCGAAATCTTCCGTATGATAGCCATTTGAGGAAAATGCAGACGACATGCACAATATTACTTGCAAGTGAAAGCAATGCAAACACTCCTTACAAATGTGCTGTCAAATAATGGAAACGATGATTTAAATAGAAACTCATAACGGGGAGAAAATAACCATCGGACCACTAGCTAAAACCACAACCTTTCTTTAATTAGTAATCACCGATGAAATAAGTGGGTAAACAAACCAATTTCTGTAAATAACACTAGAGTTAACACGAACATAAGAAAACTGTTTTCGAACAACAATTCTCCATAATTAAATCAATCACTAGCGTGTTACTTAGCATATTCTTCACACACATGCAATTGATGTACGTTCTAAAACCAACGGTTCTTCCTTAACAATTTGGTCCTCTCGAGAGGCTCGTTTTTCGTCTCAGGCTTATGCATGTACATATTTTTTTTGAACGGGGGATTATGCATGTACATTATTGTTATTTCCTAACGCCAAAAAGAAATATGAAATCATGCACGCATATACCAAATAATAAAGAAACTTCAAATATTTAAAAATCCACTAATCGGATCCAACCGAATCTCTGGATCTCAAAAACAAGATACAGAAGATCCAGATCCGATCCATCAAAATGGATCTAAATTAATTGAATCCGCTAGATTCGAAAATCGAATATTCAGATCAATCCTCTATAACAAATCAATGTAGAATCTATAGTGCTACCTCTAATTCAAATATTAGAGATTAGATAATACTTCGTACCCGTCTAAAAAAAAATGCTTCGTATATCTCTTGGTATTTATGTTAGTAATTATTGTATCCTATTAAGAATTTAGGATCCATATTAGGTCATCTTTGATATTATCTTTTGTAATCGATTACTAATTTATTATTACATTATATGATATGATACTGTATCTAATTAAATTACCAAAAATAATTGAATACGATAATTACATTGATACGAAGAGATATGTCATATCAACTACACAATCATAGCCAGATCAATGCATTGTTGCCCACAAATAGTACATCCAACATATCGTTCCACTCTTCCCAACTCGATTTTGTCACCAAAATGGAACTTATAGACCTTAAAATTCAATCTAGTAGCCATCAATATCATAATCACCATCTTTTTTGATGCCAGACTTATTCTTTTCCAGAGGTCAAGTACGTATGCTTAAAAACATGAGAAAATCCTAACTGGAATGAACTACTCGTGCGTGTGTAGTGGGTGACTGCGTGGTCTACATATATAATATAACAGTGCTTGTTATGGAATACTTCATCCTGAGCAATACTGTAAACAATTAGAAATGACACGACAATAATAATCCTGTAAACAAATAGAAATAAAGGGAGTATACATCATAAATCATACGTACCAAAACCAAAGGAATACATGCATGCATTGCAAATTGTAATACTCTTTAATAATTTCATAGCTCTTTAATTATCAATTTTCTCTTTCGAAATAATATAACAATTGCATTAATTTAATTCTAGGATGGTCCTACCGATACGGGCATTGCTATTGATTTATTGATGAAGTACACGGGCAATAGTAATGGAATTTTTCCAAAATAAAGTAATGTAGATTAAGTTTTTATTTATTTATTTATTTTTTAATTTGATTATTCCGTGCACAAAATATTTAAGTATTACTCTGTATTATAATAATGTAGCGTTGGGAGCCATTAGCAAATTATAGCTTTGATGTTAAGGCTAAATCGAGAAGGGAGGTTAAGTCGTGATCGAGAAATCTAAACTCACGTAAATGTTCCCTACCAAAAAAAAAAAAAAAAAAAAAAAAGAAGGAAAGAAAAATGAAAAATTGATGCCTACATAATCAGATATATCTAGTTTACCGATAAACATCCAAAAATGTGTTGTTAAGAGTAGTGTATGTATCAAATTAGTATTAAAGGATATAATTAAAATCACGTGGTGGTAATAGTCAATATAAGAAAGGAAAGACGGTTGTACCACTTGAATTTACAACTATTATTCATAACGGCTATATATCACTTAAATTAATAACCACCCATTTACAACGACTTTATAGTTGAACTAATAACCATGATTTATAAGGGTTATACCGGTAACTATCATTTACAACGAAATAACGGCTGTATTGGCCGTAACCATTATTTACAACGGTTATACATGCCATCAATAAGAGAATTAAGAAAAAAAGGGGCCAAATGGTCAATATACATCACACTTTGAGAAATTGACTTACCCTTTGAAGAAATGTGACTATAATAAGGTAAAAAAACTTCCACAATTAGTAGTCAAGATCAATTTCATACACTCACTCCAAAGAGAGTGGGAGTATAAATACTTGTACCATCCACTAAAAGTCACCGCCGCTTGACTCATTTCTTACAAAAACCAGACAAAACTCATCAAATTCTCATACAAACCTTGTCTTCTTCCTAATTTTCTGATTATCAATTCATCACTCAAAAATCATACATTGGTCATCTTATGTTCTGATTAATTAATTATTTAATTTCTTGGCAAAATTTGTGATGTCACTTTTTTCTTGCGCAAAACTTTGTCATCCATCATGAGTATTGGCATTTTTTTGTCAGCTTCGCGTAAAGATCGTGAACTCCTCAAAGGTAATTTATTTTTTTCATAAAACAAATCTTTATTTGTGCTTTGATAACTTAAAATTTACGATCGGATTTTTAATTTTTTTTTGTAAATATATTTCTTTACCATAATTTTGATTTGGCTAATAATTTATTTGTTTTTTTTTTCAATTATTATTTTTTCTTATACCAAAAATCATATCTTTGCACTTTACTTGTGGTTTAACTTGCAAATGAATAACTTTTTTTTTTAAATTGTTAAATTATTTTTCACATAAATTTGATTGGGTTAATTTTCATTTATTTTTTTAATTAATTAATTAATTAATTAATTTAATTATAGTTTTATTAATTGCAGAAGAGGGGAAAAAATTAATGGATAAGTATTGTAAACAGAAGGCAAAACAATTGTTGCGGGCAAACGAATTGTTGCGAGCAAAAGATATTCGAGGGCGTAGCGTCCTACATATTGCTGCTGCCGGGGGTGATACCGCTCTCTGCAAGTTCTTTCTTAAGACGGTCAAAATTGATGTTAATATCACAGATTTTAAGGGTATATATATGATATTTCTCATAAATTATTTTTATAAAATCATTTTTAGGGCTTGTGAATTATGTAGGATCCATATCAATTGGATATTAGTGATGGTCCTTTAGTATCGCTTGTTTTGATTAGATCAGATTAGATCAGGTGAGATAAATACGATATTAGATCAAACAAAACTATAAAGATGTTAATTTAATTAGATTAGACGGTAAACAATAAATCTAGACTGGTCCATAATTATTTTAGACTAGATTAGATTTAATCAACCTTTAAGAAATAATACAGTCTCTAAAAAATCTAGGTTAATTATAAAACCTAAATAACCATTTTTTATATAGTGGTGTTTTTTTTTTTTGATAGTCTCCCTATTATATTATGTCCTTGAACCGATCACCATTTAAGTTTTTGCTATTAAGGGCTTCATCCATTCCTTGCACGCTTGGAATGAGGGTAATATTTTAATGGTAAACTAGACAAAACAAATGAAGAGAGTAAAAGTAACAATAACGAATATAGGTGGTAAGTAGTAACGAATTGAACTCCTTTCAAAAAGAAAAAAAAAATAGTAGTAATGAACTCACAAAAGATGTATCGCGAATTACGAAATTGTGTGTATAAGAGTATCTTTGATCTCTCGATTCCTTGGACAACCAATAATGATATTCGATCTCTTAATTTAAATTGACATGATAGAGTATAAAACATATTTTTAGGTCTCAACCATCAACTTAAATTTTTGATTGAGTAGGTCTTTTAACTATGTGTATAAGAGTATCTTTGATCTCTTTAATATTACGCGAATTATGAAATTGTGTGTACAATTTTGCCTATCTAAGTTGCTACACTTGATTTCTCAAGAAGTCATTATTTCATTCAATATACTTGGAGATTCTACTATTGTTTAGCGGCATAATATGATTTGTATGAACTACTAGAATAACCTAATACTATACCATGTCATTTTAGATTGATTAATTATTAATTTTTTTTTTTTGGCTATTTTTACAGGTCACACTCCTTTGCATTATGCAATTGCAGAAGGTCATAATTTTATGGCTTCTTCTTTTCTGCTAAATCAAGGAGCAAATCCTAATTTGGCAAGCGATGCTGGATTGACTCCATTATACTATGCTGCCGTAAAAGGTTTCTAAAACTCGTTGAGCTATATAGTCTTAAATTCTAGTACATCCGTTCTTTTACATTTGATTGTCACATTACTAGTTCAAATTTCAGTCTGTAGTTGGTCTTGTGTGTAAAAGGCTTACGGATTTTTTGCGTTGTCAAGCTATAGATGCAATAATCATTTCCTATACTTTACTCTTGGCTTTAATGTGGCAGGAAAAAAAGACCAGATGAAATTGTTGGTATTAAAAGGTGCTCAAGTTGATGCACCATCGCTTATAAAAGGCACGCCATTGCGATTTGCTGCGGAATATGGCGTGAAAGAGGGTGTTAAGTTTTTGCTTGATCATAAGGCTAATGTATGTGACAACACTTTAATTTTTGTATGTGATTGAGATGTTTCCGTTTATTTATATATAGTTGATGTGCAATATACTACTATATAGTACTATTGTGGTAGTGGTATGTGTCCAAGTGTCAAACTCGGCTAACTGATGAACAAATTCCAAGTGTTTTTATGCGAAACAATGAGTCAAGTATCCATACCCATGTCACTACATTAGAGCTTATTCAAGGTTGACTATATGTTGATTTCTGCATTTTTTATGTCTCTTATTAGCTTATATCCGAACCACCATGTTATTTGTTTATTCTATTGAAATTCAATAATTAAATGGCTTCATTTTGGCCTTATTTTTCTGATCATCTTAAGCTATGAGCTTGGCTCTATGACCCTTAGTTAATATACAAGTATGTTTGTTAGATGATATAAAAATATCTTGTAAAGTATGCACATTTATGTGATGGCACCTTCTCTCTTTGCAATAACGAAGTTAACCATCTTCTTCTTTGATGTAGCCAAATTCGACTATTCATCCCGTACACCCTCCATTGGTAATGGCCATCGCAAGAAAATCTATTGATTGCGTAAGGCTACTCCTCAAGGTATAATTATTTGCCTTATTATGAAGATTCTCATTGTATACATAGTTTTTGTTGTTCGTTATGTTTGGTGGTTGTATTCTTATTTTTGTAGAGAAGATATCATGCGATATATTGTGAGAAAACTTTGAAACTAATAAACCACTTCGTCTTCTTAAAGGCTAGTTGTGACTTCTTTTTCTTCACTTTTTTAATTGTTTGTGAATCATTTGTGTTTGGTAACTATATTTAATTTATATTATCATTTTGCATGCACGTACTTCATTTGTTTGGATTGAATAGTCACATCTACTACTTTAGGATGTCTTAGTAACTACAGTATTTGATTTTGTTTAATAAACAAACGTTAATGGTATATTGAATTTTCTACACACTTCACTTTAATTAAGTGATAATGATAAAAAAAATAATAATTAGGATTTAGGAATGCAAATATCATGCATAAGAATATACCGCTTATATATGTATAAAATCATGTCATATCTTTAATTTAAACTGGTCGAGATAACATGACAATTAATTCCTGATGGAAGATGAAGTATTCTTCTTTAAACACGTGTGATTATTTACTTATAAGCTGTCATTTATTTATTGATTGGTGGTACTCTTGGTATGCTTGGTGCAGGCTGGAGCTGACCCGAATCTTAGTTTACAAGGAGAAAGCCCTTTGACTATGGCTGTTCTTGTAGACGATGCAGAGATTATCAAATGCTTGCTTAAGGCTGGAGCTGATGCTAACGCTATCGATTTTGTAAGTGGAAGATAACATTACATTCACATGTTTTTGTAGAGTTTTAATTAGTCTTTAACTTGCACTCCTGATTGCGGTTTTCTTGTATGTGTTTTATGTCTTGATTCTATATGATTGGGATACATTTGTATATGTATAATGACATTTTCCTGTGATTTCCTTAGTATGATTTCACACCAATAGAACTCGCGGCTAAGGCAGGTAAAGTTGCGCTTATAAACATCCTCTTCGATGCTACTGCTCGAATTCCTCATATTCCGAATTGGAGCTGTCAAGGAATACTCGAGTATACCAACTCTGAGGAAGCTATAGAAAAGGTAATGGTTTAGGCTAATGACTGATTTTAAGTTCATTATGCAATTTATATCGTGCCACTTTCGAATTAAGTTATGTTGACGTCTTTTGAGTGAAAAGATATGCCTCTTGAGGGACACGTACACTTTCAGGATGTACATCCCTCGTTCTCAATAAATAGATATGGTTTTCCTGATGTGAATGTAAGATGATCAAGAATAAAACATCATTTAACGTATGTACTTCCTTTGAGAGAATTTTCTAGAGTATGTTCTCTTGGTTTTTACAAACACTTGTTCACAAACTTCTTGCTGATTGAATTCATTAAATAATCAATTGGTCTTTCTTTGTATCTCAATAGTTTTATTGTGTTATTCATGTTGTTTTGTAGAGAGGCAGTAATAAAAACTATTAGGAAAGTGACATCAAGTTACGTGCCTAGAAGTAATAAACGGTCCCTCTTGTTCTATCCTTCAAATTGTTCTAAGACTGAATCTTATTATTTACTATAGTATATTACTCGTAGCTTTGCGATTCCATTTAATGCTTAATTACATGACTTGCAGCGTGTATCCAAAGTTATATCAAAGTTTCTAGGAGCTAGAGATAGAGGAACACAAGCCTTGGAAGCAAATGATTATCAGTCTGCAATTTACTGGTTCACAGAGGTAAATCAATTTAGTAAATTTGGTTGTCATTCATTCTTAGCAATAATTGACTAATTGTTTATCAATACAGGCTATCACGACGTTTCCATTGGAACCATGCGTGTATGTCGACAGGAGCCTATGTTGGATGCGCCTCAACGATGCGAAGCGTGCACTCAGTGATGCAGAACAGTGTATAAAGCTGGAACCAGAATTTTGGAGAGGACATTACCGGAGTGGAGAAGCTCACAGAATGTTGCAGGTCTATATAATATCGAATTTTTTTGGATCATTTTCAATTTTTGACTAGTATCGATCTAAACTAGTACAATTGTGTTATATTTGTATTGGCGCAGGACTATGATATGGCAAAAGAAGCTTTTAAGACTGCTATCAAGTTTTGCCCTGAGAATAAGGAGCTTCAGGATGCTTACAGGTAATTTCAAACAATAATGATTTTTTTTTCATAAATATTTGATTACGGTCGTAATTGGAAATAATCTTCATTTATTCGACGAGCACTATATTGATACTTGTCCTCCATTGTAATATTTGGCAGCGAGGTTTTATTGGAAGAAGCAATGCCAGTTGGTGAACGTGATCGTCGCCGACCCATTGCTGATTATGATCCTAGCTTGTTCTAGTTGTGGTGACCGAAATAGAAAAGATCGAATGTAGCACATACTTTCGTGTTCATTGGTGTACTTACAAGAGCTTCTGATGAGGAAATTTAGCAGGCTCTTTGAATTGTTGGTTTTTTTATTGTTTTTTTTTAAAAAAAAAAAAAAATCTGATCGGATTGGAAAAGAGCAGTGGCATGCACATCACTTTGTGCTGGTGAAGTCGTTGAACTTAATATTTATATTAGTCATTATGACATTGATAATGTTTTGAGGTGTTAAATTATATTATATTATTATGCATGTGACATTTATATGTATATATGTCTAGTGTAAGGGTTACTCTTCAATATCACACCATCATATGAGCTAATCTATCTATATTTTAAATCACGCATATTTGAAATAGATTCATGCAAGTTTTTTGTGATCGGAGTATATATGAGTTGTGGCACACAGTTTGGTGTTGGTGAAGGGACATATATAGAAGACCCATTTGTTTTCTGTTTATTTTTGTTAAAAAAATAAAAAATAAAAATTTATGGGGTGGAAGTTGAGACCGAGCTAGGCGGTGGTCGAGGTTGAGTAGCGTCGCTGGTGGGAGGAGCTTGGCTGGGCAGGTGGGGCTGGCTACATCTGGTGGGGTGGAGGGTCAAGGTGGTGGCTGGGTTGGTGGTTTTTTTTAAATAAATAACACTCATAAATGTCATATGTGAAATAAATTTCTTAATTAGAGTCATTTTGTATAATAAAAAAAGGAAGGTGATTATTGGTGCGTAACAGAAGTTGGAGGTCACCGTTGAAAATTTTCCATTTTTGTTTGGTTGAACTTTTTAACTTTGACATCCCATACCCATCTCTCTTCTTAAAATTCACAATCCATTCTTAAAGTCATACTTCCTCCATTTTTTTTAATACCGCATAACTTGCCTTTTAGGGAAGTTTCACAAATATTGCATCACTTCCAATTTAGGACAAAAAATATCTATGTTCACACTGCAAATACCCAACATACCCTTATTATTTCACACTTATTATTTTATTTTTATATAACATGGACAATTTTTTATTTTTACGTTTCTCTCTCTTACTTTTTTCCATTATCAAATTTTGCCTAAAATCTCCTATGATGCAATAAAAAAAATGGAGGAAGTATACAGGATAGTAACTAGGTTAAAAACCAAAAATTGGTTCAGAAAAAAAATAAAGCAATACCACAAGTCCACAACATTAGCGGGTTTTCCTCCCAAAGTTGTTGTACTCTCTTGGTCAGTCTCTTTCAAGTCTCATTAACTGCACAAACTTAACAATGGCTTCTTCATTTTCTCCTTGTAACTATTTCATCACTCTTTTTCTTTTTCATTCATTTCTCTTATTTTTTTTGTGTCTAAATTGTCACTGATTTTTTATATTATTTGGATGCAGTTGATGATAAAACCAAACAGCGTGTTATTTCTGCTGCCTTTGCAGGGACATTGAATATCTCACGAGTAATTAATTCTTCTAACTTTTCTTATTATTTTCTTAAATTATCAAAAGGGTTTATGTTTTTCAATCTCATCTTTCCTGGGTTCATTCTTTTTTTATGTTTTCTTCTTTATATCATCGTTAATTTCTGAAATTAATAAAAACCCTTATTTTAACCCCTTTTTTTTTTTTTTTTTTTTGGAGAAACAGAGGTGGTAAATGAATTTGATAATGGCGGTGGAATTAGAAAAGCTTTGGAGAATGTTAGGGATGATTCTTTTGGTAGGAATGCCCTTCTTACCGCTGCGGCAAGGAGCAATCTTGATGTGTGCAAGTTTCTTGTTGAACAACTTAATTTCAATGTTAATGAACAAGATGTCAATGGTATTTTCTATTTAATTTTCTTTGGATAAGAATAACATTTTTCTTTGTTACTTAGATTTTGTTTTTCATTGTTACGTTTTATGATTTGATGTTCTTGTTATTGTTTTATTATTTACGCTTTAGTATTTGATAACCTGTTGTAATTCTTTCGGAAGGAAAATGATGTGGAGATTTTAATTTAATTAAAGTTTGTAGATATTGATGGTTAAAATTGTGCGTTGAGCTACGTGATACTTGAATTGTTGCATTAATTAAAGGGAGAGCATGTTTGTATTAATCATCCTCTTTGTAGAACTAATCTAATGGATATTGTCATTTTTCGTGATTTGTATGGTAGTAGCTCATTTGGGAGATTGTTATTTGTGGGTGATTAGTTCTTTATGATGTTGTATGTAAAAGGGGTATCAATCAATCAGATTATAAATTTTTTTAAGATCGGTGCCTTAAGTGGAGTAGTATACAATTCAATTTGAGATCTCTTTTCTGTCCCTATCTTGTCTGTTTCCCTATTAGGGACTCAATTAATATGTAATACCTCGTGTAATGGAGTCGGTTTATGAATCAGTTTGCTTACTTTCAATTTCGGTTTCATGTAATGTAATATTTTATAAGGTTTAAAAACTGTGTAAAAGCATAAACTGAGATGATCAAATGCTTCATGTTTAATTATATATTGATTTGTGATTAGTTTTGTGGTCTATTTTACAGGAGATACCCCATTACATATTTCTACTTTGGAGGAGGATTATGCCACATTAGCCTATCTCCTTGATCACGGAGCAAATTGAAATATCGCCATGGACAAGAGATTGACTCCATTACATTATGCTGCAAAAAGAGGTACTACATTAAAAAATTTGGTGCATGTGTGGGAATTTAAGTGACCTGGTGCAATTCTTAGCTTGCTTGCTGTTTGTTTGTTGGAGTGAATAATCCCATCTTGTAATTTGGGCCTCTTGCCCTCTTTCCCTGCTAAGATTTGATGCACAAATTTTGTGTAATTGTATTTGCAGGACGAACAATGTAATCTGGAGGGATTAAGCTGGTATAGCGAGATGAGCGTTAACTTGCATTCATGTATTAGTCTTTACTCCTTTAGCCTACTAGAGCAATGTAATCTTGTAGCTTCTGCAGCTGTTTGGGTATGAAATATGTCAAATACTGAACAATGATGTGATAATATATAGGCAATAATTAAGTTTGAGGCCAACAAATGCAGCAATGTTATCCAACAGATCGAAGTATTTGCTGGGCTAAATTGGAGGAAGGTGATCATGCACTCCGTGATGCCTTGGCCTGCATCGAGCTGAGGAATGATTGGCCAAAGGCACATTACCGGGCTGGGGTGGCCTTGGGTCTATAACAAGTAAGGATAAAACGTTGTATGTACTATCTTTGTTACTGACTACAGAGTACTATCTTTGTTTTCCCTGTCAAATGTTGACCATTACTAGTATCTGAAACACCTTGATTAAAAATAATCTTTGTTTCATTTAAATCAGATACAGTGCTTGCGTAATAATGTTTTGTAAGATTTTCATTGGAAAAGTCACATTGGTATCATTTTAAGTCTCATAGTTTCATACTTTGATTCGTTCAATTATAACTTTTCTGTTTTGGGTGAAAGTAAATGGCTCAAAAGGTATGGTTGGCTTCGAATCTAATTGATGAGATGATAATACATGAAACACAATGGTTGAAATGTTGAATGTATGTGTTGCTATCTAGTGAGGGAAAACCAAGGTAGTCGTATAACACGCTACCAAACTATTTTATTAGTTTTTTTAAATGTACAATACATTAAACGACGCATATATTATCTTGTGGACGGATTGCATACAAAATTACCCTAATAACAATTTTATAGAATCATTTTTTTTTTTTTTGAAACATAATAATCTCATGCATGATGCATGTAACTAGACAATTGTAACACTCAAACAAGCCATATGAAAACAGATTGATACTCGTATATCCTTAAAGTTATTGTTCATATATAAACTTACGTGATTAATCCCTGACTGAAGCAATTAACTGATCCGAGAGCTTATAATCAGCTTCAACACTAAAAAGCCCAGAAAAGACAGGAGGAGGTATACTAACTCCGGCGGCACTAAACGCAGAGTTACAGGCACCAAGCTTGGGAAAAATGACATTAGTAATAGTAGACCTAGCATCATTAAATCTCCTCTGAGCAGCTTGTACTTGCACTGTACCACCTGCAGATATAATAGCCTGAATCAAAGGGTTAATAGAAAAGAGGGTGGTTCTTGTTTTTGGGTCTGTTTGAACATCGTCGAGAATCTTGTTCACGTCTTGCTCGAGCCTCAAAGCATCGCTATCCCCGCATCCAAGCATCTCTTGTATGACATCTCCTTCCGTTTGAGCACCTCTGCCATCGCTGTTTATGCAGCTAATGCATACGTTTGGAGCGAATGTTGCACCGCACATTCTGTAGACTAGTGGATCGTTGTCACCACCATGTGTGAGAGATATTATGCTAAGTAGAGAAATTACTATTAGTGTCGATATTATGGTGTTTTGGTTGGAACAAGCCATTGTATATCGTACTTTAATAAGTGCGTAGTCTTAAATGTATGAGTTTGGTTTGCAATCTTTATAAGAGTGAGTTGGGACTCTTGGAGGTATATATAGATGGTATATAAACATAGGATTTTTCGTCAAAAACTACCTAATAAAGCTTAGATGTTGTGAGAAACTACCTAATAGAAAAATGTTGTAATAAAATACCTAATAAAAGATAAAATGTTGTAATAAACTCCCTAACAAAAATGTATAATGTTGTAAGACGCTACCTCTGCTCGAAATCCACCATTGACCCACCTCAAAACACCCCCAAAACCACCGCTCTCAGCCCAAAACCGACACAACCTACTTGAAATTGCCTCCACCACGCCGAAACCACCCTCCTACTCCAAAACCACCACCTCTAACCCCATTAACAATGTAAAGGTGTTTAGCAAGAGCTCACTTGACAGCGATGAGCGAGAGCTCGGGGGCGCAACACCGGGAGTTGCGCACGGCTAGCACGCGCAAGTCTGATTTGAGAGTTACGCGCGGAGTGAGGCGGTCAAAGTTTTCTGCGCGTCTATCTATCTTATTCTGGAGTGCTATATATACCCCCCTTAGGGTTATTTGTAGTCGTATGATTG